AAAACCCAGGAGGGAGATAACAGCTCAGCTTCACATAGGGTTGGCTTACATAATTTTTATTTGACTGTACACAGAACTCGTCCTGAGTGCTCGGCCCTCTCATTCATTCCCAAAGCAGAATTATTGGCTTTCAGTATTAAAGAAAATTAGGTGATCATTGATTCCATGGATGGTGCTAAGCTGGTGGAGGATGTGGGTGCTCCCTACAATGTCTTACTGCCCTGCCTCCCTTGTCCTCCCTGAGCAGCATAAAGGTCTCAGTCCCTCTTCATGCTCTTCATTATAACTGTAGGTTGTTGGTTCCAGAATGGAAGGTCCTCTCCTTTTTTCTCTCTGTTTGTAAATCAAAAATTTCCATTTGTCTTCCAAAGTATTTTGAGCATGCAGCAATTGTATCTCTAAACAGTCTCGTCAGGGACATTCTGTATTTTGTTGGAGTTGGTCCAAATGTCCTGATAGATGAATTTGGAATTGTCTTTTAATCGTCCTTTGAAAAGTTTTATTAGGTACATGGTGGACCTGGGGAAACTTGTTGGGACTTGTAGGTTATATAATTCTTTTAGCTTCATTGCTAGAATGCTTGGGACGCTTAACCATGACTTCATTGCTCTTGAATACTGGTTTCCTGCATCTGGTTGCTTGGCAGTTTTCAGAAAGTAGGGGTAATAGTTCCATTAATGTATCATCTTTTCCATGATTAGAAAAGAAACCTGAGAATGCTTTCCTAGCAAATATGTAGACACAGTTTCCTCCAACACCTGTTCTTTCAAGTCATGAGATATTTGAAAATAACCCACAAGTCCCTGCATCTGAGCCTGTCTTCTGAATATCTATTTGGGCAACATGAAGTTTTGCTGGTGTGAACTAATGTCAGCATTCACCCTTCTCCCCACTACCTGTGGATTCAAGTACGGCAAATGCCTATTGATTTGGAATGACTGGGAGATGGGTTATTTTGATTCTGTATAGTTAACAGATGCGTGAACAGATTTTTAAAAGTAAAATGCCTGATGTCACATTGCTATTACAGTGAGGAGATAGGATTCTGACTCCCTATTCTAAACATTCCTCCTCACTGCAATGCTTTGGAAAATTTAAAAATTATACAAAAATGCACTCTCATTATGAAAAAATGAGAAAACATAGATGGGAAAAAAGAAATGAACCTCAAAAAATTCCACTATTCAGAGATAGCCACTGTTAACATTTTGATGCCCTTCTTTTCTTTTCAGATTTTTTTCTACAAAATATAATTACAAATACGTTTTCAAAGATGTTGCTTTGCAATTTCCATTTTGCCTTTAATATTTTTGGCTTTGTTCATGTTCTTCTAAGTCAGAACATAGATCTGCATTATCATTTTAAAAACTTGCATTGTTTTCCATTCCATATGCTGGTACTATTTATTAAGTATTTCATCATTTTTTTTCTCTCCCTGAGCTTGACTACTGTGTTAGTCTGTTCTCATGCTGCTAATAAAGACATAACTGAGACTGGGTAATTTATAAAGGAAAGAGGTTTAATTGACTCACAGTTCCATATGTCTGGGGAGGCCGCACAATCACAGTGGAAGGCAAGGAGGAGCAAAGTTGCATCTTACATGGATGGCAGCAGGCAAGAGCTTGTGCAGGGGAACTCCCCTTTATTAAACCATCAGAGCTTGTGAGACTTACCGACTATCAAGAGACTAGCATGAGAAAGACCCACCTTCATGATTCAATTATCTCTCACTGGGTCCATCCTATGACACGTGGGAATGATGGGAGCTACAATTCAAGATGAGATTTGGGTGGGAAACAGCCAAACCATATCAACTATCAACTGATTAAAAAAATCTCTCAGTTTTAGGACATTTACTGAATGTTAATAATATTTCATGCTTGCACTATGCACTTCACATATGTTATTTCATTTAGGTAACTTGCTTAAAAAATTTCTTGATATTACTGATTATGCTTTTTTTTTTTTTTTTTTTTTTTTTTTTGAGATGGAGTCTCACTCTCTCGCCCAGGCTGGAGTGAAGTGGCATGATCTTGGCTCACTGCAACCTCCACCTCCTGGATTTAAGAGACTATCCTGCCTCAGCCTCTCCAGTAGCTGGGACTACAGGCACGTACTACCACACCTGGCTGATTTTTTGTATTTTTAGTAGAGACAAGGTTTTACAAGAGATCAAGATCAAGATGGTCTTGATATCTTGACCTTATGATCCACCTGCCTCACTTTCCAAAGTGCTGGGATTACAGGCATGAGCCACAGTGCCTGGCCTTGTGCTTATTCTTTATATGCATTTCTGTAGGATTGTACACTGATTATTTAAGGGCTTTTCATAAATATTGCCAAAGTATGCTCCAGAAAGGTTCTAACAATTTACATTCACAAAGCACAAAGCATGCAGAGTGTTTAATTCTCTACATCAACACAATCAATGGTTATTATCAACTTTTAGAATCTTTTCTAACCTTCTAAGGGAAAATAACTCATTTTTTCACCTTGGAATTCTTCGATCACTAGAAAAGCAGAATTTTGTCTTGATGTATTCATATTTTTCTCTAAAATATTTTAAATCCTATATTTATTTGAACATCTTAAAATAATATATATTTTAATTATATGTACCCACATGTACATAATTTCATCAATGCATGCCTTTAAAATCATGTTCTCTTTTTACTGTGATATTTTTTGCTTTATCTCCTTTTACATCATCCCCTCTGTCCCTCAAACAGCCTTTAAAACAACATTGAATGCATCTTTCCATATTTTTATATATCCTTACAATCCTTACATAATATATAACATACAAACACATCCACTATATTATATATACACATATATGTATATATACAGTTTGTTTTATGTTTTTATAAAAAATGTGGGATCATATATTGCATATTTTTCTGCACCCAGCTTTTCTCACTTGTCAGTACCTCATTTGAAAAACCTCCAAGTTGTTTGGTGGAGTTACAATTCATCATTTTCAGTGACTGAAATTTTTTAAAGCCATGTTCCTATTGACAGGCATTGCTTGTGTTTCTGGTTTTTCTTTTTCTTCTACCACTATTAATAATGCTACAGGTAATATCTTTTTTACATATATCTTTACAAAGAAATAGATTTTTATGGAACACTCAGGAACGTCATTGCTCAGTGGCTTAAGTGTGAATATGTGTTTTACCTCTAAGAAATGATGCCAGATTGCTTTTCCCAAAGGTCCAAACACATCCCTTTCTCACAACGCAATCTCAGAGAGTACCCTTTTTATTACATCCAGCCAGCAATAGGTATTATGGCATTTTCAAATGTTTATCAGTCTGATAGGTGAAGTGATAATCATATTGTTACTGTAATTTACATATTCCTGGTTACAACTTGCAAATTTGTGTATCTTTTTGTTTTTTTGCCCCTGATTTACCCATCTGTGAATTGTTTTATTGGGTCACTTGTTTCTTATGTCTTTGTAAGAGATTTTTGCATATATAAATAAACTTTTATTTTATTTTTGAGATGGAGTTTTATTTGTTGCCCAGGCTGGATTGCAATGGCTTGATCTCAACTCATTGCAACCTCCGCCTCCTGGGTTCAAGTGAGTCTCCTGCCTCAGCCTCCTGATTAGCTGGGATTATAGATGCCCACCACCATACTTGGCTAATTTTTGCATGTTTAGTAGAGATGGGTTTTCACCATGTTGGCCAGGCTAGTCTTGAACTCCTGACATCAGGTGATCTGCCTGCCTCAGCCTCCCAAAGTGTTGGGATTACAGGTGTGAGTCACCACACCAGGCCAAAAAACTGCTAATTTTAAAAAATGTCTATTTTAAATTCAGAAAATATAACAAATTTTAAAATTAATTTTACAATTTTTTACTACAGTTTTTAATTTTTTTCTATGCATGCAAGTGTACAATCATGTAACCACCAAAGAGTTTTTTTCTCATCTTTTCCAGTACTTGTGCCAGTTATTTGCTTCTATGTTATATATACTATAGTATCTATAATAGTGTTAAAATAATGTGAAACAGATCATCTTTAATTATGATTTTTAAATTTACCGCTAGCTTTTAGAAAATTTCTTTGTTGAATTTAAGTAGTTTCTTTCTAGCTCTGTTTTAATTAGGACTGGCTACTGAATTTTGTCAAGTGCCTTTTAAGTATTTATTGACAGGACATGTGCTTTTATCTTTGACTTTTTTGCTGTACTTAATTCAATGGACACATTAATTTCCTGATACTAACCAACCTGTTATTTCTGAAATAAACTCTAGTCTTCTGATATATTGAGAGAGTCTCCTTGCTAATATGTATTTGGAATTTTTGCTTTTATAGTTATAAGTCAGATTGAGTTCCAGATTTCTGTTTTGCTTCTCTTTTTATTGAATTTGGACATTGGATTTTAAAATTCTGTTCCAATGGTCTGTATAACCGTTTCTATACCATTATAATACTATTTTGGTTACTATAGTTTTATAATATATTTTGAAAGCAGAGAGTATTGATGCTTCCAGCTTTGTTCTTCTCAAGAGTACTTTGGTTATATAGGGTCATTTGTGATTTTTGGATTTTTCTTTTTCTGTAAAGAATGCCATGCATTGAATTTGTAGATCACTTTGGACATTATTACAACCTAAATTCTTCCAACCCATGAACAAGGGATGTCTTTCCATTGATTTGTGTCTTTAATTTCATGCATAAAAGTTTTACAGTTTTCAGTGTACAAATCTTAACCTCTTTGGGTTTATTCCTAAGTATTTTTTTTTTTTGCTACTGTAAATGGGATTATTTTCTTAATTTCCTTTTTGAAGAGTTCATCATTAGTGTATAGAAATATCATCCATTTTTGTATGTTGTTTTTGAATCCCACAACTTTACTGAATTTGTTTATGAGTTCTTTCTGTGAAGTCTTTAGAATTTACTTTATGGAAGATTATGTAATCTGCAAATGCAGGCAATTTTACTTATTTCCTTCTGAGTTGGATGCCCATTATTTTTTTTCTTGCCTAGTTGCTCTGGCCATAGCAAATAAAAGTGTCAAATTTGAGTACCCTTACCTTGTGCTGAATCATAGAGGAAACCTTTCCGTTTTTCTCCATTGATTATGATGTTAGCAGTGAGCTTTTCACATATAGGCTTTATTGCATTGAGGTAAGTTCCTGCTGTACCTATTTTGTTGAGTTTTTATCATGAATGATGTTGATTTTGTCAAATACTTTTTCTGCATCTGTTGAAATAATGTGGTTTTTATCTTTGATTGTATTAATATGATGTATCACATTAATATGATGTATCATATTAAACCAGCCTTGCATGCCAGGAATAAATTCCAGTTGTTCATGATGTATAATCTTTTTCGTGTGTTGTTGAAAACTGTTTGCTAATATTTTACTAAGAATTTTTGCACCCATCAGAGATATCAGCCTTAGTTTTCTTTGGTATATTTCTCCTGTGGTATATTTGTTTGGCTTTGGCAGTAAGGTGATGCTAGCTTCATAAAATGTGTTTGGAAGTATTCCCTCTAGTTATATTTTTTGGGAGAGTTTAAGAAGGACTGGCATTGATTCTTCTTTGAATGTTTGGTAGAACTCAGCTGTGAGGCCATCTGGTCCTGGGCTTTTCTTTGTTGGAAGGTTTTAAATTACTACTTCAATCTCTTTATTTGTTGTGGGTTTGTTTAGGCTTTCTATTTCTCCCTGATTCAATCTTTGTGATCTGTATTTTCCTAAGAATTTATCCATTTCCCCTAGGTTATCCAATTTGTTCATATATAATTGTTTGTAATAATATCTTTTGATCCTTTTAATTTCTTAGGTATCTGTTGTAATGTCTCCACTTTAATTTCTGATTTTATTTATTTGATTCTCCTTTCTTTTTTATAGTTAGTCTGGGTAAGGGTTTGTCAATTTTGTTTATCTTTTCAAAAAAATAAACTCTGGTTGATTTTCTCTATGATTTTTTTCTTCTCTATTTGATTTATTTCTGCTCTAATCTTTATTGTTTCCTTCTGTCTGCTAATTTTGATATTGTCATTATATATCAATTTTGGGAGAACAGTTTTGAGTCTTCCAAACTAGTTTGGTATATATCTCTAGTTGTGCAAATATTCTTTATTTTTTCTCAGTGATATTTCATATTTTTCTGTGTATAGATCTTGCAGTCTTTTGTTTGATTTGTCCCTAAGTATATTTTTATGCAATTATAAATATTTTAACATTCCAATTTCCAAATGTTCATTGCTTGTGTATAAAATAAAAATGGACTTTTTCCAAATTAATTTTTATCCTACAACCTTAAGTTTATTTATTAGTTCTAGTAGCTTTTTGTACATCTGTTGGATTTTCTACAAAGATAATCATGTCATCAGTGAAAAGCAATAGGTTTACTTCTCACTTCCCAATCTTGAGGTCTTTTTGGAGAGAGTCAGCATAGAATTGACTTTATTTTTTCTTAAATGTTGGTAGAATTAGCCAATAATAGCATCTGGGCTAAAAGTTTTCTTTGGCAAGGTTTTTAATCTATAAATTCACCTTTTGATATAGATATAGGACTAATGAGGTTACCTTTTTTTCTTGAGTGAGCTTTGAAAATTTGTATATTTCAAGAAATTTGTCCAGTTTTTCCTTATGTTGTTGAAATTATTGACAGAAAATTACTCATAGTATTCCCTGATTATCACTTTAACATCTGTCAGATTTGTAGCAATGTTATTTTTCTTGTTCCCCATATTGTTAATTTGCTAAAATATGATTTCTACACACGGCATGTGGTTAGATTGTGTTCCTTAATCCAACCTCACAATCTCTGCTTTTTAATTAGGATGTTTAGACTATTTACTTTTAATGTTATGACTGATATAATTAGGTTTCTTTAAAACAATTTTTTTTTTGTTTTTAGAGACAGGGTCTGTCTGCACTGACCAGGCTGGAGTGCAGTGGCATGATCATAGCTCACTGCAGACTCGAACTCCTGGGCTCAAGCAATCTTCCCATCTCAGCCTCCCTAATAGGTGGGATTACAGGCATGAGCCACTATGCCCAGCTAGTTTAAAAAAATTAATTTTTGTAGAGATGGGGTCTTGCTATGTTGACCAGGTTGGTCTCAAACTCCTGGCCGAAAGTGATCCTCCCACCTTGGCCTTCTGAAATGATGAGAGCCGTGGTGACTGGCTCCTGTGGTAAGATTATATCTATGTTTCTATTTGTTTATCTGTTTTTTATTCCCCCTTTCCTTGTTTTAATTATTAAAACATTTTCAGGCAATGAAAGTCTTATTCATGTAAAATTAGAACTTCAATTTTATATTGAATCCAAAATTTCTTCCCTTGCCCTTTGCAGATGATCAGTGGCTCAAGGACCCTTTCTTTCTCTTAGGTCTTTTAGTTTTCTTCTCTCACTCTTTCCAGTGTTCTGGCTTCTCCAGGGAGAAGCTTGATTAGAATGAAGGCCATGACTCTTTATTCAACAGTAGCAAGAGCCACCCAAAATCTGTTTTTACAGTATTTATGGAAGTTTCAAGTGTTCAGCTAATTGAAAGCTGTAGCTATTGAAAAGCAAACCCTGATATTAGTCTCTTTACAACTGTTGCAAGCCTGTTGAATTTGAATGCTGAGAGACAATGGATGTTAGAGCTTGTGTACAGTTGCTTACCTTAAATAGATTAGGCATTAGTAATTTAATTATTCACTGAGTTTTATCATTCTGGACTAAGATACAATGTTGTTAAGGTAATGAGAGGTATTAACACAGCAAGAAAAAAACTTAATAAAAAATCTTTATTTTTATTTTTTGGGACTCAGGACCTTGCTCTGTCACCCAGACTAGAGTGTAGTGGCACCATATTGGTTCACTGCAACCTCTGTCTCCCAGACTCAAGCAATCATCCCACTTCAGCCTCCTGAGTAGCTGGGACTACAGGCACATGCCACTATGGCAAGGTAAATTTTTTTTTTAATAGAGATGGGGTTTTGCCATGTTGCCCAGGTTGGTCTCAAACTCTTGGGCTCAAACTATCTGCCTACCTCAGCCTCCCAAAGTGCTGGAATTACAGGCATGAGCCACCATGCCCAGCTAATAAAAGTTATGTTAACATCTATGTAATTTCTAATATTGGTGCTCTTTCAACAGGTAATTCTCTTCTAAGTAGTCATTTATGGCTCCATCTTGGGCTCCATCCCTCTGTGGCTCTGCCACCTTTAACCTAGGGCTTCTAAGGTTGCCATATCCGTCTACATCAAGCTGACCTTGCTCGAGAAGTTTTTTATAGGCTAAGTCCTGGGGACGGTATACACCACTTCTGTTCATATTTCATTGGCTGGCCCTCAGTTTTGGCTAACTTCAAGGGAGGCTGGGAAATTGGAGCAAGAATAGAAAATATTTGGTGAAGAGCTAGCTAGTCTGTGTGTAGGAGTAGTTTTTTGTTACCAGTATTTTATGTATTTAAATTTAAAATTAAAGGTTCATGAACTTGGTTTCTCATCTCTGTCTTCTGTGGTAGTATGTTGACAGCATATGGCCAGGTCACTCATCACCCCTTCCCCCCACCAGCCCCAAGAAAACTCAGTCTCACAAAGGACATTTGTTTGGGAGGAGGAAGGTTGCTCTAACACCAAAGCTCTCAGAAGCTGCTAAGCTTGAATGTTTAAGAAAATGTAAAGGGACTAGAGCTTTATAATGAACATTTTAAACAGAAAAGAACAGATTTAATAGAACACTTACCGAAGTCAAGCAGTGATATCTTTGTACTTCATGCTGAGAATTTTTTTTCTTTTCCTTCAACTCTTGAATGTCTTTTACATGATTTTTAACAATTTAAATGTAGAAACTAATGTTCTGTTTTCTGGAGTTTTGATTTTAGACAAAAAGGCATTTGTATAAAGAATCCTTTAGAGTGTTTACACATGGCTCTGTGTTTAGTATTTTTCTTACAAATCTCAATCCCCTGGAGTCATGGGGCACTCAGAGCCCAGGGACTCAAGTTCACCATTAGTTTAATAGTTTTGACCTCTGCTCTAAAGTGGATTTGTACAGAGTCATGCCTTGCATGTCCTAGAGTCATTAGCTTGGCATGAAATGGTTCTACTGCTTATGTTGCAGTATAATTGTTTCTGAGTTGGGCTTCTGTAAAATGATCATGTCTACTTGAAGACCTGAAAAGTTTAAGAGCAAACTGCTCATGGGGTGACAGCGTTTGAGGGCTGGTAACTGTATAATCTTACGTGTAAAATAGAATCCAACTTCCGCTACTCATTTAGTTACCTAGGGTACTGACTCACTTACAGATTTGAGAGGTATCTCTTCAAGACTGATATTTCCCAGCTTGGCTATGGAAATGTTTCTCTATGTTGGCCAAGCCAGCTCTAAGCAATCTTCCGGGAACTTAATATACTTTGATATTGAATATCTTGCTCATTAAGTTGGAATCCTAAGTATGTCTCAGTTTTTAGGTATAATGTCCCCAATAGTGATCTTTATTTTAACTTATATGCTAGAAGCCAAAGCTTCATTAATTTGACAGTGATTTGCTATATGCTTACTACAGGCTAGGTGTCTAGAATAAAAAATCTGCGTAAAATAACTTTTGAATGACAAGGTGACCATATTCTGACCAAAGGGAAGACTTAAATTGAATAAGCAAATTTTAGAAATAAATAATATGTTGGAAAGTGGTAAATGCCATGAAGAAAATAAATGGGGGTAGGAAGTTTAAAGGGTGGTGGATAATGCAATATTAAATATGGTAGTCAGAAAGGATGTTACTGATTATGTGACATTTGAACATAAAGGAGATGAGTAAAGAGCATTCTAGGAAGAGATAAGAGCAAGGATGAGGGCTTTTAAACTGATACATTTGAGGAACAGCAAAGAGGTCAACTTGTGTTACTAGTGATAGAGAATGAGGGGATCCTAACAGGAGATGAGGCCAGAGAAGCTAAGTTTTGGGGTGGGAATAGGGCGAGAGGAGCAAAACACAGTAAGTCCTGACCAGTAGCAACACCTGAATTTTGTGTTATCCTGGAGGCCAGGTAGAGAAAAATGTATGGAGGAGGGAGTGATGGACTTTGCCAAAAGATGCTGGTGGGTTACACAAGGGACAGTCTGAGAACTGACTCCTGGGTTTAGATTTTCATTGACTAAGTGAAGTGGGGTCAA